ATCAATACTTAATAAACTGATAATAAGAGGAGGATTAACTGCTTATTTGGTAGTTATTTAACAATATTTGATTTTATCCCATTCTTGACCTTTGTCGGCAACACGCTAACGTGGGGATTTTTACGATTTTCAGCGCAACATCTGAATACTACAGTTTAGCTGTAGTTTCTAAAATTAATTATATCTTGCGCATTTCAGCTATTAATGTGACGTCTAATACTCACACATGTATGCGTAACAATTTTATATAAAAGTATTGTCGGGTTCTACTCAGGTGGTGGTTCAAACGAATCATTCTTCAGAAGCCTGCTCTAAATTCGTTTTCCGACAAGGATAACTTGTGAATGGCGAGGTCAATTTGCATGTTTTGCTGGATTACGACCTTTTTGACATCGTTAAGCTATATTGCTTTTTCTTTGGGAATATCCTATATCTTCTAACGGGTTTTTATATTATAGACTCATTGTAAAGTCGATCATCTTAAATGTACTATTATGTATGTGTCTATGCCACACTGCTCACTTTTAAAGCTTGGGTGTAAGGTTAAATTTACTGGTATACAGTTTTCTTTCTGTGATGAACTTGTTGATGGATATATTTATGATTCTGTGTTTTGATTATAGTATCGTTAAATGTTTTGTTGGCATTCCACTGTCTGTTAGTACATCGACACTATTCACTAATGCGTTTCTAGCTGCAGTAAAACTGATTTTTAGGCCAAATTTAAGCATACTGAACAGTTCCCAGGGCATGCAAATTTGTTTTGCACCCTTATTAGCTCGATTGAGAATCTTATCACGTCATCGCCAAAGTGTTACTTCACTACACAAACGTCTTTGTGTTTTTCTTTCTTTAAATACCGAGCGTCAAAGGTGATTGAATTGTTTAGCAATGTGCTTTGTTTGAGTATAGGATCAATTTATACGGTATGGTGAAACCGAATCTTTCTCTGTGCAAAGAACAATTAAGTTTTGCAGATTTTCAGATAAGAAGCACTGCGAAAGCGAAACGTTGTAATAGATCGTTTTTGGAGACGTACACAGATCGTAAGTGACTGTCAAGAGAATCTATAGTTATTCAGCTGGACCGAAATCTTATAGTCATGCTGTGTAGATGGAAAAAAATGCCTCATATAAACACGCGAAGTTCATATGTCCTCTTAGCTTGTCTGATCCAAATTTACATACTAACTTTGCCATGCATAGACAAATCCTATAGAAGTCCACTCATCTTAAATTTAAACTTGAAAAAAATGGAGTGAGATGTGTTTGTTTACATTTTCTTTTTCTCGTTTTGCACTTTGAAAGTTCACTACAAAGTTCTAAGGGCTTTATGATAGAATACATAAATTAAAATTAAAAATTTATTTGTCGCATTTCTCCATGTCGCTTCTGATTTTTCAAAATATCCGCGCGAGCAAAGGCATTATGCTCAAACGTTTCTTCAAGTGCACGTCTGTCTTTGGAAAATCCTGGTCTAAGACCTTTCTTTTTCTTCTTTCAAATTTTGCTCTCATTGTGAGCAAAATACAAAGTATTTCAATTCTTTGTGTAGCTGCTTCAAATGCGAAGGCTTTGTTTGAACGACGACATTGCTCCATGGACATTATAGATAATCGAAGTTTAACTAAAAGCCATTCAAAAGCAAATAAGGAATAAAATGAGAATGTAGAAACTTGCAAAAGTTCCTGAATTAAATTTTAATTTTTTTTAATATGAAACTCAACATAAAGAGGAGAGGAAACTCAACAAAAGGAGGAGAAACAAAACTTGATGGATCTGTGAAATGTGGCTCTTTATGCAGAAGATCCGTGATAAGCAAAAGTCATCTGATTTGATTTTTGAATACCTGTAATAACTGAATATGTCTCGAAGCGAAGAACTTGGGATGTTTAACTCAAAGGCTTTTTGAA